CCTATTTCAAAGCATTTCCAGAGCTCTGGTTTGTGCCTCGAGGTGCAGTGCTGAGGGAGGAGTGCTTTTGTGCATGTTGTTGCCCCAGGGAGCGTGCAGCACGGTGGGATATGGTCAAAAGGGCATTTCTCAACAATCTGAAAGTAGTGGAAGGGCTCTGGGTGAGGCTGGGGATGTGAAGGAGTGCTGGGAGGATGCATGTTGCTCAATGCCTCAGCCACCTTCCCCTGGAGTCCTGCCATAAGCACAGGTGCCTTCCCAGTGCCAGGGGGCTCGATACAGGACCTCTCTTGCAAGAGGTGGTGGCTGTGACATGCAGCAGGGCCGTGTGTCCGGTAGGGATTGTCCCCAAATGTGGACCTGGTTATCATTCAGCTGCATGGTGCAGTTGTGAGCCTGCAAAATGGGAAGTAGGATCTCTTACGGTCAAGCCTGGGGAACAGTTGGTCTAGGCTTCTGTGCAGGTAGAGGTTTGGTTTCCCTTTTGGCTCTGATTGTGTGTGTAAAGGGGCTCTGGACAGCATTCCCCTGCAGCTCCAGGACTGACTTCTAGCTCTCAGCAACGCATGTTCTGATACCTAGGAGAAATGACACTGCCAGTAAGGTTGTGCTGGCCAGTTCATTTAGTTGTGTGATGAGCCTCTGAGCTGTTTGCCAGCTAGCATTAACCACCATCTACAGGAGGTTTGCTGCTTACTTCAAGGCTAAGTGAAGGGGTTTTGTCGGTAGTCAAGTCTATTAGACTTTGATATAGCACCAGCATGTTCATCAGGCCCGAGCACGGTGCACGGAGGAGGAGGACTGGAGCAGAATTAGAAGGTATAAAGTTCAATTTTAATTTGAAGAATTTTCCTCTACCACTTAAATGTGGGAAATGTTCCTGTGGTTTCAGGTATAAAATGTCATACTTCATAAGGAGTGTGCGTTTTAAATCTCAGCCAGATATTAAATGCCGTGCCACACTCCACTTCTCTCTTTGTTAAAAAGTAAAATCCCAAATCATCTCTCGTGGAATGATGTTGTTCAATAAAATTAAAGCTTTCAAGAGAGCGAGTGCAAATAGTGCCAGCTCTCTTATCATTAGGAAACATCTGGTAGTGTATTGATTTTATTCTGTATTGACAACTGTTCCTCAGCATTCAGCCTCTTAATTATCAATGATGTTGTTCTTCAGGTTGTCTACTAGAATAAGTCTCGCCATCAATACAGACTAACAAGTAACGTACACCAGATGTTGTTTGGTGAGAAAGAAGCAGAAAAAGGGGTTGGACTCGGGCTTCTGGTGATTATCCAAGTAATTTGTTAGCAGAGGTTTTGGGAAACTAGTTGGCTTTAACGTTTGGCTTCAGCTAGCAAATTTTTAATAAATTAAGGCAAACTCTGTCAAGCTTTAATCACATAGGAGGGTAAAGGCCGCTTCTTTTCTGGAAAACAAATATTGGAAAAAAAGCAGCATTTCTTTTGGTTGTGTAATGTGAAGATTTATTCGTTGTCAAATGTGAAATGGCACTTCTGGACAGACCCACTTTGGTTCTTTCAAGATATAGGGTACAAGATTGCATAGTGATAGGACAAGGGAGAATGGTTTTAAACTGAGACAGGGGAAGTTTAGGTTGGATATCAGGAGGAAGTTTTTCACGCAGAGGTGGTGATGCACTGGAACAGGTTGCCCAAGGAGGTTGTGGATGCCCCATCCCTGCAGGCATTCAAAGCCAGGCTGGATTTCAGAAATAATCATGGTGAATATCCATAACTTGTTTTTTTTGTGGTGGCCTCTGACCAGAATTTATGGTGATAGGTCTGTCTGCTGCTATAGAAAGGAAAGCTTTGCTTCACGTTGAGGGTTTCAGAAGAGCTGAAATGGGATTTAGGAGGTAACGACAGTTTGTACATGTCTCTTAGTCCCTGTGAATTACGTAAGCATAATTTTTAGCAGCTGTCTCAGTGACATTTTTTGCAGCTGAAAGCCCAAATGTGGGTGGTTTGCAGGGAAAATGCCGTGAGCTCTTTAGAGACCTTGTGGGTAGGATGTTTTGGCAGTTTTTGAAGCTGTTCCAGTGATGTTGGACTCAAGCTGCCTCATCCCATCCTTGGTCAAAAGGCTCATGCAGAGAAAGCAGCAGAGAGTTGGTATTTTCTGGTGGCTGCAGTTGTGGGGATGGTTTGGAGGCCTCAGGAAAGAGATCCCTGTTTCTCATGCTAGGTGAGGCACCAAGCTGCTCCCATCTTTGAGCTGCCGGTGGTCGTTTCAGTTTCTATTTTGCATAGACTCATAGAATGGGTGGGGTTGGAAGGGACCTCAAGGATCATCAAGCTCCAACCCCCCATCTTCAGCTTTCTTTCCCTCCCTCAATTTTTAGCATGCATTGCCTCATTGCTTTTGCCACCAAGGGAGAAAAGGCCAAGCCCAAATTCTGAAATGTTTTCCAGAGTCAAAAACAAACTTATGATTCGGATGGAAAAATGACAGAAAAGTTTGACTTCTAGCACTGGATACGTCTGCATGTTGTGTTCCTTTCACTTGCACAAGCTATTATCCATTGTTTCAACCGGTAGAGCTGGTGGGATGACCAGGATAGAGAAGACAGCTCAACCTTACAGGGGTCACATCTGGATCAGTAAGATCCCCTTCCAGACACACCATCAGACTGAAGGGAAGTTTTTGGGTTCTGGGATTTGATGTATTTAAAGCAACTGAAAGTGAGGTGGGTCTAAAGGGGAAGGTGCTATAAGCCATCTGCTTTAGCAGTTCCTCACCCAGAAGAGGAGTTCATCTGTTATTTGTGCACGTAGGCTGTTGTTTCAGTGTGTTTTGTTTTGTTTTCCCTCCCACTCTCCAGTAAAGCACCAGTTGACTTAATCCTCTTTGATTCATCCCAAAAGTGAGGAAGTCAGACTCCTTGGGCCACCCAGCTCTCATCTCTTCAGGTTTCTGTGGGGGAGTTTTGACTAGCATGGTTTGAAGGCTTTCAGAAGTGAAACCCTGTTAAAGCAGGCAGCATATAAGGAGAGAGGAAGCTATAAGGGGATGGAATGGGGAAATGCCTTGGAGCTTCCAAAGTCATTGCTCCCCATCCTCAGCAATGCCTTCTGCATTCCTATTTCAGATACTGAAGGCTGGACAGCCAGTGCCACCTATGGTGGGAAGGAGATTCCTCCAGGAGGCACATTCTCTGTCCCTTCCAAGAAGAAGAGCCTCTATCACTCTGCTGGCCATAAAGACCCAAACACAAGTGCTGAAGGCTAAGATGGATGAGCAATTTCCATGATCCCTCCCCCATAATTGCCCATCTCTTTGCATTTAGGCTCTAGGGACATTACATAGTCGGTAGGTGTCAACTGAATATCCAGCTGGAGTGTCCCAGGGAGCAAGAGAGCTTCAACTTGATAGGCTGTGTGAATGAAGCAAAAACAACTGATGCCCAGCTAATTCATTAGTCACGGCAAGAGCTCAAGGGTTAATATCCTACCTAGGATGAAGGAACAATGCAAACCGAGTGCATGGTGCCCAGTCCCTTTTTGCACTGCACGTGCGTCACTTCTGCATGGAAATGAGTGTGAAACTGTTTTTTTTTTCCCCTCGTGCTATTAATAAAGCTGTACAGTGTGAGAGAAAAATGAATAACAAGAGGCTGTAGTTTTTAGGTGCCTCGACAGGATGTTTTCTTGATTATCCTGTTTCTTGTAAACACTGGGATGGCTTTTGTAGCCCAGATGTAAAGGCAGCCTGGCTTCATTGTTCTAACACCTGCTGTCCTTTAAAACGCACCCAGCACAACCCATTGATAAAATTCAGGCTCAGAAACCTGCAGCACCAGACTGAGCTCCGGTAGATAGCTCAAAAAAAAACCTTTGAGAATCTGACATCCGCCCGATTTTTTTTTTTCCCCCCATTATATTTGATTCGGAGCGGGGAGGGGAAGGGAAGCTCAAGATTATTTTTTCCCTGCTCTTGTTCCCACAATAGCAATAAAAAACAATGCTTTCTGGCTACAAGGTGGTAAACTGTGAGAAATAACCACAATAGTTCCCTTTTGCAGTGCAAGGGAGGGAGCCAGATTTATGAATGAAACTGGTGGCTGTGATTTTATTTGCAGGCCTGTCTCTGCTCTCGGTATGATGAGATGAAATAAAGAAAGCCAGAGAGAAAACAGCTCCTAACTATCGCAGTCAGGGGAAAGCACAGCATAGATTTGAATGCTACCAGTCCTTGTAAGAGAGGGGTGAATGTTAGATTTTGGGTACCATACACGCTCTCCTATTCACAGAATCACAGAATTGCCAGGGTTGGAAGGGACCTCAAGGATCATGAATCTCCAACCCCCCTGCCACATGCAGGGTCACCAACCATCCCACCTAATGCTAGACCAGGCTGCCCAGGGCCCCATCCAATCTGGCCTTGAACACCTCCAGTGATGGGGCATCCACAGCCTCTCTGGGCAGCTGTTCCAGCACTTCACCACTCTCTCTGTAAAGAATTTCCCCCTGACGTCCAACCTATTGACAGGCAACTGTGTGAAGGTGGAGAGGGTTTATGTACCTTATGTTTACTGGAATGTTTCTCTAGGTAGGACTCAAGCCTGCTGTTCAGGGAGAACCTCTTTAAAACATGTCCTAGAACTGTATTTCCTTGATCCTCTTCTCACGCAGGAGCTTCATCCCATTTGCCTGAGCTTGTGTTTGCACTTGAACTGCAGTTTGCACTGCTGATGAAGAAACCTGCGTGCTTCCTGCGTGGAACTTGGATCTACATCCCTACAGATGCTTCCAGCATGAGATGGAATTGCTGTGAAAGCTGTCCTATAGCCATATGGGTTGTAGTGGAAATGTTAAGTCATGGCTTGAAGCAGTGATTGAGCACGTGGTGGGAAGGCAGGGCCAACCCAGGGGAGCTCAGGTGCAAACAATGTACCTGAGTGATTGGAAGGGCTGGAGCCAGGATCCACCCCTTCCCAGCCCTCATTTAAGGGTTGGCTGTGGAGGTGAGGGCATCTCTTGGTGGGGTTTCCTGTTTGCCTGTGGCCTTCTATGGGTGAGCAAGTTCTTTCCTTTGTTTCTGTGTCCATGGCTGCTCCATTTGGGCTTGTTCTTACTTGCTGCAGCCTGGGACGTTGCTACCCTGCTGTCATTGCTGTGCTTTCCATTGCCTTATAGTGTTACATCAATATAATTCAGAATGTCATTAGGGCTCGACCTGGCAGTTCCTGTGGCAGAGCTGTGATGAGCAGGAGTGCTGAGTTGCTTCCCACAGTGCTGTAAGTTGCTGGGTGGGACTGCATGCTTTCCAGATTGAATCTTGTGCTTGGGCCCAATCTCAACATCTTCCATTATTAGTATGTGCCCACTCTAATGAGGTATTGCTTTTTGCTTTGTGTTATGTGCTATGGGGGAAAAAGAAGACCTCGCTAGGCTTTGGAGCAAGACACTGAGGACATGAGATGTTTAATTAGGATCAGAGGGTGGTTCAGTTGTATTTTCTCAGAGAAGAGACCGTTTTCTGCAATGCTTTTTAGAGCAGAGGAAGCTGCCCTTATGTTGAGGTCACTTGCATCTTTGCTTCTTATGCACTGTCTACTTGTGCTCCACGAGCAGAGGAAGCATGCTGCTACTTATTTATCCCTGCTATGGGCAGGGGATTGGACCAGATGTTCTCCAAAGGTCCCCTCCAACCTAAATGACTGCACGTTTATCATGCTGAGAGAGTGAGATGCTAACACTGATTCCTTCCTCATCTCATATGGCTGAATTTTAACGCTAAAAGAGCTGTATCAACCTCAGAAAATGCATTAGTTTATCTCTCTTGTAGAGAGAGGGGTGCTTAATAACTGTTCTCTGTAATTACAGCAGATGGGAGATGCTTGCCCCAGGTATGGTAGGTGTGCTCCTCAGGTCTTTGTGAGCTTTATTTTGAATTTCCCCTTCCATGTTATGCTGTGAAGTGGCACTATAGCCACTGATGTATTCGTTTTCCCCTAAAATCTATCAATTGCTCTCTGGAGGCAGTGAAAGCTGCGAGGTATTCTTACAAAGAATTCCAGTATGGTTCTAAGGAAGCATTTATATTTCCTATAAGTGTTTTGCTTTTAGACTCTGGCTTCCAGAAGTTCTTTTTTACCTAAGAAAACACAAGAAAATCAGACTACTGTTTTCTGAATTGGGTAAAAGGTGGAGGATGAACATCCGTGACTGGCAAATTGCCTCTCAAGAGATTCTGAGCAAAACGGAAGCCTTTTTGAAGTGGTTTGCTGTAATTGCAATTTTTTTTTTCTTGCTTCCTGTTCGTACTGTCTGCTGTTTATTTCTTGGGCAGCACCTACCAGCACTTTGTGTGTGGTTATAGGCAGGGTAGGAAGCTAGAAGGCCAACAAGAGGCAAGGGGGTTTTAAAACGTTGTTGCTTAGGATGCTGCTAATGAGATGTTGCCTTTATTCCTTGCTACCATCAAGGCCTGATGTAGCCCCCCCCAAATCAGTGCTGGTTGAGGCGAGGAGGGATGTGAAAGAAATGGAAATAACAGATTTCATGCTGTATAACTCTCCAATTAAAGATCCAGACTGCGGGCAGCACAAAAAGCTTTGTTTAGTCTGTAGTCAGTAGCTGGTGGCTGCTCCTCATTTGTGCTCCTGGCGCCGAATTGGGAAGCTCCTTCTCCTTCACAGGGGATTTGAGCTGGTGCCATTTACAGCATTGGAATACAGCTGCGATGCATTGGTGGTAAAGGCAGAGCCCAAACTGAGATAAATGTGTGGTAGAAGCTCTTCTCAGCATCAGTGGAACAGAGCTGTGCTGATGGTTGCAGGGATGCTTGTTTTGGTAGCTGGGTCTTACTGCCTGCTGCTGTTTTTGGAACATCTCTGGCCCCACGGCTGTGCTGGCAGAGCTGTTTGTGGGACCTTAGGATGAACTGGATGAGGATTAAGGAAGCTTAAAGCTTTCCCTGGAGAGGGCATCTCCATGTCTTACAAGATGGGGGGCCATAGGGCTGGTGAACACGTGTGTTGGGTGCTGCTTCATGGGGGTGGGAAGGCAGCTGAGGCCATCCTGTCTCCTTGTTGCTGTGTGCTATGTGGCAGGTTGCTGTCAGCTCCTCGTGTTTTGGCTCTTTGGAGCTATGGCTCAGATGTGGTTACCTCACTGCATCACTTGTCTTGTGAGCGAGGCTCTGCTTTCAATTAGAGCCCAGAGTTTGAGTCTACTTGCACGGCAAAAACGCAAATCCACGAGTATAATTGTGGGGATTAAGTGGGCAAAGCAAGCAACAAATGTTGGGATTAATTTGAAAAACGTCCTGATGTTTGCTTAACCTCATGCATTCTTGCTTTTTTTTTCTACCCTCCAAATTTAATTTTGCACACAGTTAACTTTTTTTTGAGAGGCAACGTTGCTACAATGGATTTCTGTCTTTCCACAGGCTGCTATGGAGTGGAGCTGACATCTCCTCATAACAGCATGTTTCTGTACGGGTTGGGCAGGACGAGGCCTGGGGTAGCAGCACATTTGGAAGATGTGTTCTGGTTGGGCAGGTTAGCTGCTTTCTTGCTGACATGGTGCTATGGGCTGATTTACTCCAGTGTTAAGCGTAGAGATCTCAGCATCTGGAATGCTTCCCTGCCAGAAAGGCATGGGGAGGCAGAGCCACACCAAAGGCAGCTTCGTGGGAGCTTTAGGGTGTCTGGCCCCATAGAGTTTCCACCAGCAAATACTTCAGTTTTGGGCTGTTGAAAATGCATTGATAAAAGCTCTGTTCATCTTTCAGTCCAGGTCTTGACTCCATCAGTCAAGAAGACTTGGATGGTGTGATGTAGATGGACCTGTGGAGTTGGGACTACCTTGCCCAGCCCTTCAGCTCCCCATGGCTCTGATAGGAGTTTAGTTGGGTAAGAACCATAGTCATAGAGCCATTCAGCCTGGGAAAGATCACTAATTCCATCCAGTCCAACCATTTCTCCAGTGAACCACGTCCCTCAGTGCCACAAAGAAGAGCAGCCCTGATCCAAACCTCCCTGAAGATAGTTTTCCCACTGACTTGGGTTTTTGCCCACTGTTTCCATTTGGATGTTGCCTCTGGGCAATCTGAGGCACTCTGCAGTCCGAGCACAAAAAGACAGCTTGTGTCCTAAAGGGCTTACACGTCAAGCACATGGGCTTTGGCTGCAAACCCAGAGATTAGCAAGGAGCATATGGTCCCTAAGAGGTGTGGCTTGTATTGCTAAAAGTGCCTGGAAAACTGGAAACTGAAGGCATTCTGCTTTTTTTTTCTCCCCCTTCCCTCCTGCGAAAATTCCTGTCAGTGTGAGCCATAATCAAAAATTTAGAGCAGCTCCATAAAAACTAGGGGAAAAGGGAGTCCCTTTTTGGCCACAGCTGTACAGGCAGTGGTTCCTATGTTTTCTACCCTTAGCAGTCCTCTTCCAGGGACACTGTGATGCTGTGGACTGATCCATACCACATGATGGCCATCGTGGGGCTGTATTTTTTTTTACAGCCTTGTGTTTCCACGTTCTTAAATTTCAGAATGTGCTGGAGTCTTGTCCTAAATGGACACCATCTCAAGCTTTTGCTGAAGTGCTTTCCTGAAGCGGAGCCAAAGGCTGTGGAAATCCTCTTGCCTTTTCTGCTGTATGCTCACAGTGGCTGGCTGGGTATTTACTGCAAGAAAAAACATCACTTTATTGAGTTACAGCTGGCTAAGTGACTGAGAATAGGCAGGTTAGGAGAGCGTGTGTATCTGACCGTGCCCCCTCTCTTGTTTCTATGATCCTAATTCTGCTCTAAATTAATTCTTTTGTTTAGCTGCTGGGTTTTGTGTGGATTTTTTTTTTCTCTCCTTTTTGTTTTCGCATGAATGCTTGCCTCTATATTTAGTTCTGCCGGGACGGGATGTTACAAATAATTGTTGATTTGATATTATTAAACACTAACACGCTTGGCTGTGTTGCACTAATGATGGGGCTTTGGGGATATGCAAATCAATTAATTGCAGTAATTGCTGGAAGCTGGTTTGGAGGAGGCTGTTGAAGAGCCCTCGGGATGGCCAACAAAGAGGCATTTGGAAGTGCAAAGGGAAAGGGGTGCTTCAGAGGAGCTGAAGGTTGCTACTTCAAGCTGCTATTTGCCAAGTTGTGTTTGTGGTGTCCTTGCAGGGTCTGTGAAAAGAGTAGGATGTGGGGTGTGATGAGGATGGGGAGGAAAAGGTCTCTTCTGGCTTCTGCCCTACCTTACGTGTGCTCTCCTTGCTTCGGGGCATTGTTGTATGCTCTTTTGTCTCGGATTCTATACAGCATCGTGCTTTAGTCTCTGCACTCTGGGTTGAGTTTTCAATGTGGTGCACAGATGGTGCTCCCAGAAATCCTGTTATTTGCTAACGGGATTTTGTGCGAGGCTCTTCCACTGTTCATTTTCTATTTAAAAGAAAAAAAGTGTGTTTGGGTCAATACACCCAGACCCCCATCCAGCTGAAACGTGCCCTCCCATGCAGCTGAGAACACAGCTTTATTTTTTATTTATCTGTTTGTTAATCCCTGAGAACAGTGTCAGAGCAGCTTCTGTGATGGGCAGGGGGGCTGCAGGAGGAAGCACCGGGGGCTGTGCTTATGCACTGCACGGTGCAGGAGTGGCCCTGCCAGCTCTGCCAGATGTCACAGCCCTGCCAGGTGGCCTGGCCACCTCTCTCCTGCCCTTCTTGCCTCGCATGTGGTCTCGCCCTCGCATTTTGCACCGTCACGTGGCTGAAATATACTTATCTATTCAGCAGCTTCCCCCTGCTTTAGCAGCATTTCTCTAATGCAAAGTTCAGCTATTATGGAGCTGCACCCCTCTGTGCCTTCCATTCTTCACGTAGTACCCAAAATTACGATATAAATAGCAGAGACCCAGCGTATGTGGCTTTTATCAGCGGAGGCCTTTCAGAATAGGTTAGGCAGGTGCCTGACAATGATAATGCAGCACTGACACTTCCTTGCAGCACAGAGCTGGGCGAGGCGACCTCCTGAGGTCTTTTCCAACCCCTATTTTTTCCATCGCTGCGTGACG